TTTTTGAGGGGGGGGGGTTGTTTGTTTTTTTTTTCTTTTTCTTTCTTTCTTTCTTTCTTTCTTTCTTTCTTTCTTTCTTTCTTTCTTTCTTTTTTTTTTTTTTTTTTTTTTTTTTTTTTTTTTTTTTTGCCTATTCTGAACAATGCTGCTGAGAATAGGTTTATATATGTCTTGGTGTAAGAGTGAAAAAGTGTATTTGAAATGGTGGTTACTTGGAAGTGGAGCTGCTGGGTTGCTGAATACCATCAATGCTAGATAAGACGAAGCTGCTTCTTCAGGGATCCATAGCAGTGTGCTTCCCTACCAGCCATTTGTGGGAGATCCCCACATACCACATCCTTACCAACACTTAAAAATGATGTTTTTAAGTTATAACAGAACTAGGTTTGTAGAGGAAGTGAATTACGATAAGGTGTCCATTTATCTAACTTTTTCCTTGGGGTCAGTGCTCTTTGCATCTGTTTAAGAATTTTTTTCTAGGGCTCAGCAGGTAAAGGTGGCTGCTGCTAAGTCTGGCAATCCGAGTTAGGGAAAGAAAGAACTGACTCCACAAAGTTGTCTTCTGACCGCCACACACATGCTCCCCCTCCTGTGCCATCATGCACACACCCACACAAGAGCGAAAATAAAGATCTCTCTAAAAAGAAAAAGAAATCTTTGCCAATCCCCCAGGCCATCAAGATAGCCTCAATGTTGACACCAAATATTTCACTGTTACCAGGTCTTGCTGCAGGCCACAAAAATATGAAATAGAGATTCAGCTGTACATGATAAAGCTATAACTAGAAGGATCAAGGAATCCTTCTGGAGAAGTCAAATATCAAGGAATATCTGATGTTATTTGGCTTTTAATATATCAGCTGTTTCCTACTATCAGTTTCTTGTGCACCCATAACTCCTAGGCAAACAGTATAAGCTTCTCACACCTGATCTGAACTAGGTAACACCCTAGGAGACAGGCGGTGGTGTAGATGCATAGTTTTATTTCTTATGCAAATGAAGCTCAGGCCCTCTTTTCTGTCTCAGCCCAAATGGCATTCCAGAGCAATTGACTCAGAACAAAAGGGTTTTTTGCATACCAGGTGCAAATTAGCTTTGAGACAGGTTTCTTAGCTCCCAGCAAAGTCACCCCACCCTGCCAGTCTATATGGTGGCATAGGAAATTAGAGACAGTTTTATTTTGATGACCTATAGAATCATTTACCTAACCACCTGTAGGATTGTAGTTTGAGCACATTTAGGATAGACTCACCTAACCACTTATAAGAATATATTTTGAGCACATAAATTCTCTGACTTATTCCAGGCCTTATCTGAGCCCACCTCCTCTATTCAGTCCCCTTTTGTGTTGCAAATGAAGCTGGCTATCACTGCTCTTGTGGTCATTGTATTGTGAGAGTTACTGCTTGCCAGGTCATAAACCGGTTCCAGGAGTGGAATGGGAAGGACCAAGATGGAGAAAAATGAAGATAAAGCTGAGGACGAGGCAAAAGGAGCTTAGTTGGAACTAGGACAGGACAGGAGGAAAAGGGACAGAGAGGAGCTAAGTCTGAGTACAGAACTGAAGCTGTGTAAATAGTATTTAATCTCAGAGGAATAAAGTAAACGATGAAAGAACCCGGTGTACTTAGATTCCTTTCCCTCATACTACCCCACACCGACCATAGCGTCTTCCCCAGGACTCTGGGA